AATATTCATATGGCACAACATGGAGGGTAGTTTGGCTAAGGTGGAAATTATGGTTGCTGGGAAAGAAAATATCAAAAATGAATCTATGATGATCATAGATATTTTTTATTAGGCATTGAAATTAAGTGTATATTTTTGGGCATCTTGGTGATGTTTTGCAATAAGGAGTAAAAAGTTTCAATTATACACGCAGTTACATTATATAAGCTATAGCAGTCATAGAGGTTTTTGAAAGAATGAGTTTCAAGAACGATTTTATTGCTAATGACATTTAATCATTCTTACACCTATTTTTAAAAAAATGTTTTAAATTATTTTTCTAATTATTCTTTGGAAGGATTCTGATGTGAAGGACCTGAAGACGTCGTTGGATCGGTTCAGCGCCCACTCATCTATACCTGGTAGGTCGACTAACGTCTCTTCTGAGATTCGTGTTGTTTTAATTATTCATTTTGCCTTACAATGCAGCTGCAATATCTTCGTGTGAGAAAATATGGAGGAGAACATAATTGATTAGAATCATAATTGCTACTTTATGTTCTGAATAGAAAAGAGTTTGAGTCAACCAAAAATTTAAATACTTACATAATTGTTGCTAAATTGTTTTCTTTTTAATAACATCCTGTTGTTTGTTGGCAGCGCGGTTTGGTTAACACCTCCCACTCTTCAATTATAACAATAGAGTTGCGCTCTTTTATTCTTTAACAGAAGACCACAACTACCACCACATAAAGTTGATGGCAATTAGGTGTTACTACTAAGCTAGTCACTTCTACTTTCTTTCTATCACTTCATTATTATATATAACATTAGGTAATTATATATATATACATACACACACACACATATATATATATGTATACTATATATATATATATATATATATATATATATATATATATATATACATACATACATACGTACTTACACCTATATTATATATATATGTACATGTATATACATATGTATCTGTATGTGTATCTGTGTGTGTCTCTGTGTGTATAATCAACATATTTAAATACATGTTCATTCATTATATAGGAAAATTCCATTCGCTTATTCATGAAAAATTGTTGTTTTTATTGTTAATGCCATTTTTAATTTGCCGAAATTACTTCGTTAATTCATTTAATGCTTGTGCTTACAACACAATACGTGTCCAATTAATACTTTAATATTTCGTAATATTTCATTCACTTTTATTTGCTGTCTGCCAGTTCGGACTGACTCATCTGAATGAACCGTATCAGTCGGTCAGAGTCGATAGTCTGCACACGTTACTTAATACCAGTTAATACTCACCCTGTTTAATAATGTCATATGTACCTATGTTATGTGCAAATGAAAATATGCCGTTGCATGTATTGCGGTTGGTGAACGTCAAACACGATAGATACATGCATGCATGCCGTATTTAATTTGATTCATTTGTTTCCCCTTCCTGTAGAAGATGTAACTTCATTATCCTCCATCAATCAACATCAGGAGATGGAAAGGAAGAAAAAGCAAAAGAAATGGGTACATGACTATTTTTATAACATTGGCTTTTATTATGCATCACATTCATTTCGATGTTATAAGTGGTGAAGGATGAATAAATAGAGAGAAGACGTTTTTTTCTTTGTGGGAATAATGGTCATTTATAAAATAGGTTTTACGGATGTATTAAATGTTAGAAAATGTTTTTATTTTTGTTTCTGTTTTCCATGGGTTTATTAAACGCTGGAAAAATATTTCGTTTTATCTACAATTTAATATCTTTACATTTGTTTCCGTAGTTAATAAAATCTCTAATAATGCAACGTTCTGTGACAAATGGGTGCACATTTTTCTCGCAGCTGACATCATTTGGCAAGTCGTTTTTCAAGAGAAAGAACAAACTGAACCAGATGGAGAGCAACAACCTGTCACTGCACGATAACAACAGCATACACAGCAGCTCGAGCAACATCTTGGTCAATCACATGAACATCCATAATAATGAGCTCATCATTCCTGATAACATCAGCAACATTTCATTCAACAAGTTTGTTTTATTTTGAATAAATCGATAAATTGGCTTGGAAAAAATTTGTTTTATCATATCATATACAATGTATTTCTGAAACAAAATTGTTCGAAGTGGTAAGAGTTTGATGCAGGATGTCTCATTTATTATTTTCTATCATCCTAATTGCACGAGGGCAACCTAATTATTGCTCCTTTTCTTTCTGCACATGCATACTGCTCAAGCATAATTTCTCATTTGACTGTCAGCTGACTGAAGGGTTTTCTCGTTTAATGTTAATTATATTACCATTATTACAATTAATAGTTTTCCCAATTTATTCTCTGAGAATTCAACAACACACACACCACACACACACACACACCACGCCACACACACACACACAAACACCACGCCACACACACACCCACATAGCGCCTGTGAAAGCACGTCAATGCACGCTTCATACACATGGCACGCGATGGGCGGGAATCTCTCTTTGCCATCGAATCCTGCCACTGTAGCAGCAGGACCAGGCGACTTAACCAATGCGCCATCTTTTTTATATTCCAATTATCAGATCATCATCCTTATCTATAGCGCTATATAATCTTTTACATGCGACAACAATTTATTTTGAAACATGATTATTAATCTCTAAACATGATGATAACATGCAGCAATCAATCATGCGATCCTGACGATCCAATGATCTCACTGTTGGAGCAGAAGTTGCACGAGAAGGAGATGAAGTTAACAGACGTTCAGTTGGAGGCCCTCACATCAGCCCACCAGCTCGATCAACTCAAGGACAATATGGCACAAATGGAGGTGGGGTATTTTGCTACGTTAAAAATTTTAACATCTTTTTGCTGTATTAGCAATATTGCACGGTTTGATGTATTTATTATCTTTTTTTATTTCTCAAATTAGCTATCTGAGTGAAGTATTGATCGAAGCATCTATTGTATTGTATTAGGCGAAAGCTGTGTGCTTGCACAGCCTGCACTTATTAAATATTTTGTTATTGTTATTCACAATGTTTTTGAAAGGATTTACGACGCGCACACACACATTCGCCATTCACACACACACTGACATACACTTTTTGTTGTAGATGTAATAGATTGATGTTGACCTTGCCAGGACATTATCTATCGTAGATGCAATTGCGTTTTAAAATTTTAGTAATTTTTTTTGAGTTTATTTCATGCGTTGGTGTAGTTCCACCCAATGGAGTTCATCATTTAATATTTGACACTCAATAGAAGGAGATGGCCTACTTGAAGATGGACAACAGCAGGTTGAAGCAGCTGGTTTCAAAAACAGCCGACAACAAATTAGATGATCCATCACCAACATCACCAACAGCACTGAACAGCAACAAAATCATCGAGTCACCAACTAATCCATGTACGTTTATTAATTCACATTTTTTCTCTTTTTTATTTGTGCTTTGAAAATTGCATGCAATGAATCCGCACTATGTTAGCTTCTCTTTATATAATTATCAGTACATAAGCAGATTAAGGAAGGTCGCCAACATTGCCTAACTGGTGATCAGTTGTATTTTATGTAATAGGATAGTTCTCAACATTTACTTTGACGGGAACCTGTAGGAAGCCCAAGTAGTGAAGTACCTGTCTACGAATGTACCAGCCTCCCAAATGTTGGGACAATCGTTTCTAAGATTTGGTTGAGCGCATCTAAAAGAAGATGAATGCACTGCTTATTATAATACTAGTACTGATATATACATATATGTATGTATATTGTTTAGTTTCAGTGCCATTTAGACCAAGATTATTTCTTAGATTTTCATCTATGTATATCTTCTTTCATGTGATGTCTGTTTTGTTTCATTTGTTTTCTTCTATATGCTCAATGTTTAGACAGCTCGTGACATGCTTTCAATCTAACATTTCGACTTTACGTTCAAAGTATAAAAATTTCACTCGATTTTTCATTAAACTTTTTTTTTAAATGGTTACTGTTGTCTCTGATATATTTACCTAATAATGAATAAATAGTTTCAAAATTGTAAGATCAAAATTGTTGTTGCAATTTCATATGTAATGTTTTCAAATAAATATTTTTTGACGAATTTCGTTACAGCTCCTCGTTCAGTGCACAAAGCAATAGTCCTATCGGTGAGATTCGCTCATGTCGATCATCTGGCGCCATCTTCGCCGTCGTCTGAGGTAAGGTTGCCACGTCTTTGAGATCATTTGTCAAGTCACGCTACATTTAGTGTTTGTTAGTCATACATGAGCTGCGACTGTATCAAAAAGAGAAACATTTGTTTAGCATTATCTTTATTCCTAGAAGATAATTTGAAATAAGTGGAACTAAATATGATTAGTTTGATTTAGTGATATGATGCCATTAACTGAACTAGATGTTCATGTTTCTTCATGTTTCCTCTAGTTATTACCAATCTTGCCCTTGTTTAAAACGAAAAATCTTATTTTTTCTTTACTTTTTTATTCTTAGCAATCTATCATGTATGTATTCAATAAATCTGTCCTTTATCCATGTAATTGTCTACTCATTCGTTCGTCTAACTGAAATTTTATTCACATCATTATTTTATAGTGTTATACAAATTCACTTCATTAGGCGAAATCAACAGAAATATTGTTTGGCAAGATGCACCTGACTGAGAACATGGGCTGGGAAACACTGAACAAAACCATCCTCAGAAAGTTTCATGTAGGTTGCTTCCTAATGTCTACACACACACACGCACAAACACACACAACACCACACACACACTCACGTTGTTCTTTCATCTTCTTATATTATTCTTTGCAAGTAGTTATTGGTGTTACGGTGGTTGCTACGTACTTATTTTAAGAAGCTGCGTGATCATGCACTATAACGTGGACAAAAAACACCTACTTCAACAATTTCATTGTAATTAGAAGTTTACTGCTCTCACGTTTTGAGCCAAATTTTTTTTACAAATCGTTAACGAATCAAATTATTTGTGAAACTTACAATATAACACTCACAGAATTATTTGGTGAGGATCGATCCAGAGGAGCACCTAGGCTTGGACCACACCAGCATCCAGCACCTTCACATTGGAGATTTGAAATGGACCATTGGTAAATTTATAAATACATAGTTCTGCCTTTCATCACTCAACAACGTCAATTTGGAATACATCTCGCTCGTCTGATTTATCGAGCAATGGGATGATTAGAATGATATGACAAGCTCTGTGTGTTGTTGTCTGTTGTCTCCCTTTCTACAACCGACTGAAAAACAAAATATGTCTCAGTTATTGTACTCTAAAACCGTTTCATGGAAAGTATGTCTGCTTGGTATCAGTGTCACATCCTTATTGGAGAACTGTTTTTTTAATTATTGCGACTGTCATTTACATCAGCCCAAACATATATATTTATATTTGTTTGTATATTATATATATATATATATATATATATACAAAAATGATTGACAGATGGCCCCTCCCCTCCAATGAGTCCCAGTTCTTATCTGATTGGCTACAACGACTCTGTGTCTCTCACTCTCAAAGGTTTCATTCATTCATTCATTCATAATACAAGTTACAAATTAATGCGAATAATGAGTAGGATGAGATGATAACATTACATCAACGCTTGAACAGTTTTGAATAATGATAACAGGGGCTATAATATTGTTGTGTTGCAAGTGTTGCAATATGTTCCTTGCTTCTTGATCACATTATTGTTTTTCAATCTCAACTGATTAATGTTTAAAATGTTTTCATCTGGTAATACTTTTGAATAATGTCCGGAAGATTCTTGCAACCTTTTTTAATATCGCTCCATTAACATTTTTGCCAGTTAACTCGAAATTTTATTTCATTTCTGCAATTTGTACACATAATTCTAGCGTTACAATTTACAAATTTCTTAATTTTTAAATTGTAGTTAATTGTTGTTGCTTAGTTTCTTTCCTTGCTATCATTATTTTGCAAGTCTTTTTTAAATGCTCATCATTGATTCATGTTTCCCGTTTGAAGCTCTCCATTACTTATTTGCATGCTGCATGTTTGAAGCTCTCAATTACTCATTTTTATATTATAAAACAGGTGTGGATGAGAACAGACTGGACTCTTTATCGTTCGAGACAATGATATCTCGATCGATTCTTGAGAGGTACGTGTCATTGATGACTGAATTCAAACGAGTTATCTTCTGCGGACCGAGTGGTACCGGCAAGACGTACCTGGCTCTCAAGTTGGCGCAGTACATGAGTGATAGGTTGGTTCTTTTGATATCATTTCAAATGATTGATTCACATTTCCGTTGTGATTTTGTAAAACCTTAAAGTCTAACGAATGGAACGATGATTGACGTTTGCGCCTGGTTGTTCGTTGTCCATTCGTCACTTTTATTTATATCTATTTTATTATTACTGATTTGTAGTTTTATTTGTGGCTACGAAGGACTATACAACTTTTAACAAAGTTTCATTCCTTATGTCAGGTTGGCAAAAGAAGGTCGACAACCTAAGATGTCATTATTCAACGTGGACCACAAATCGAGCAAGGAGTTGAGGCAGTATCTGTCGAGCATAGCTCAGGATAGTACTGCTGCTGCTGCTGCTGCTGCTACTGCCGAGAATGGTAACAGTGACAACGCTTTTCAGGACAACGTTATAATATTAGACAACTTGCATCATGTTGTGTCAGTGGCCGATGTTTTCAATGGATTCATCAGCATGGGCAATCAGAACAGGTTTGTTTTCAATATTTTCTTTAAAAATAAATTACATTACATAGTTTTTTACTGAAATATTTAAAGCATAGAATAATGGAAATATCAATTGATAATTATTGTAAAACAACGTAGCCCCTATGTGATTGGCACAATGAATCAAGTTTCATCAAGTTCTGCTTCCACAAACTTGCAACTGCACCACATGTTCAGATGGGTTTTGTATTCAAATCACATAAAACCAGTCCACGGCTTTCTGGGCAGGTTCCTAAGGAGGCACCTGGTGGAGAGGGAGGTGCTGGAGAGTAATGTAAACATTCAGAACAAAAATTTGATGAACAGCGACAGTACATCTGCAAGTATTTCCAGCAGTGGTGCCGATAAAAATGTTTTTGATGCCGAAGTTGATGATGAGGAAGAGTTGAAAAAGATGATTGACTGGATACCTCAAGTCTGGCAACACGTCAATCGCCTGCTCGAGATGCATAATTCCAGCGAAGTCACATTAGGTATGATGTGATGATTCATGTGATGATGTGATTGATGTGTTGCGTTTATAGGATGCTCTTCATACATTACATTTTTGAAAATTTTTATATGCTGCAGAAACAAGTAGGTAAGGTCGGAAATAAATAATGTCATGGTACCGGTATCGTATGACATTTAAACAATATTTCAAATAATTAATACTATTAAATGAAATGAATGATCAGGACCGCAGTTGTACCTTTCATGCCCCATGGCCAGTCAGTTGATAAAGTTGTGGTTCACAGATTTGTGGAACTATTCAATATTTCCCTATATCGTTGAAGCTATCAAAGAAGGCATCCAGGTGGTTGTCAAATGATCATTTCACTTCATAGTTTAAAACTAAATCTGATCCAACAATTTTTCCATATAAGTATTTCTTCATTTTTACATCAAACATGCTTTAATATCATTCAAAATTTTAAATTCATTGTCAACATTTGTTTCTTCAAAATGTTTCCGAATCGGTATGAAAGTGAAAAATCTTTAAATTAAGTGAGAGAATAAGCCAATGTTATAAAGAAAAAGCCTTTCTTTTGATTATTTTCAAGTAAATTTTGTGATGAATTTAAGTTGACACTCATCCAAAGGGAAGTTATTTATAAAAGCGTTTTTGTTTGATGGATGATAAGCTGAAAATGAGCATGATATATGAGCCAACCATTATAATTGAACAAAATGATGCATGCAGACGTACGGATGCAGAGCAGTTTGGGAAGATCCGACAGATTGGATTGTACGAACTTGTCCATGGTCGTCTGAAGCCTCAACCCAGTTCCTCCACCTCAGACCAGAGGATGTGGGCTATGATATGACACAACAACAACATTCTCTAGTGACCAGCAACAACAACAACGCGAGTAACAACAGTATTAACAACAACACTGGCAGTGCAGCATTCCATAACAACATCAACAATAACTTGTACATCAACAACTGTGCAGATGATGGCTCACATTCTGCAAAAATATCGAACACTGATCCACTGGTTGGTTGTGAGGATTTTGAAATTTGATTTTTAGTATGAATGAGAAATGTTGAGTGTCCATGGAGTGTTTTTATGAATATTTTTTTGAAATGACAAATTAATTTTGTTTTGTTTTTATTTG